TCTCCTCTTTCTAGGGCTTTACTTTTTCAATTTTTGAATCCTCGAGTTTTCAAACTTTTTTTCGCTTCCTCTTTGCTTGTGAGTGTATTCGAGCGACTGCTGTGACTCTTCCATCCAGAGCTTCGAGTTTCTGGAAATAATTTGCTTCAATTTCCTTGTTTTTGTGTTTAAATCCAAAATCTGCGAGCAAAATGGTCTCTGCAAACGAAGAACGAGCGGCTTCTAGTAGTAGACGAATGGTGTCCGATGAGAGCCTAGACATGGATTCTGAAATGGAATATTGTCAGTGGGACCCTCTCTTCATCGAGTGTCTAGACATCAAATGGGGTAAATATTGAAAGAGGCCTCGAAGTCGAGAGGAACGTAAGTGTACCAAAAGAATACTAGAGACGACCAACGCGTCAATGACCTGATGCCGATATGGAGTTTCCAGGGGAGACCAGTATCTTGACCGACACTGACGTGGTGGCACTTCGAGATAGTGCTCAAGCTTTTACGTCATATTCACTTTCGGACGGGCTGTTATCGGGAACCCCGATAGCAGTAGAAAATACTTCCAGGTTTTTATTGGGTGGGGCCAATAAAAACGAAAATTTGCTCCGTCTCGTCTTCTTCTTCATTCTCTCTGTCGCTCGTATCATCATTTGACTCAGAAACATGATATCCTAGCACCTCAGACTCTATATCGCTACTCAGCCCAAGGTCTTCGACATCACTTTGGCTCGGTTCGGCTTGAGATGACAGTCGACTCTTGGCTTGGGCATCCAATTTGCTCAAAATATCATCAATCTTTTTTTATACTAGCCATCAAATAATTTTGATACTACTCAAATAACTTTACCAATGATGGACTAGCCTCTTCGTTAAGCGAAGGTTCTGAAAAATGTTTGTGAGCCTTCATAATGGAATTGAGAATCATCGCTCTCATAAGTAAGCTCATACCATCGAGAATATCGTGGATTTTCATAGAATGAATTACACGATCGCCCCAATATCGTGGTTCCCATAGAAATTTGAGTACATCCAATCCAATCGTCTCATCAATACCAATCTCTCTCGGTAGCTCTGTGTCCACCATACCTCTCGAACAAAAATGGACAATCATCGGTGACGTGTCTTGTGGCATGACATAGACGACATGGTCTCCTTAAAACTTGACGAACACTCTCAATGGCTCCTTGAATCATGGCCGACATCCTAGCCTCACGATGTGGGTCTCTTCTTTCTCCTTTCATTCCATAATATGTATCGTAAGAGCAATCTGGGCCCCAAGATACATCCATATTGAACAAATACCACCTGAACAGAAAAAAAAAATAAAATAAAAGGGGGATTAAAAGAGTTAAAGAAGGAAAAAAAATAATAAAATAAATACTATTCTAAGTACCTAATTCAATAAACACTAAAAAACATCACAACTCAATTGCTCCACTCCCCGGCAACGGCGCCAAAATTTGATCGCGCGTCGCGACGCGGCAAATTTAAATTTATAAAAGTTTTTATCAACTAACCACTACTAACTAGTAGTAGCGACGAGTAACAGTCGATCCCACGAGGAGCAGGAATTAAATTGTGACGGTTCTAGTATTAATTGAACTAAAACTACGAAAGAAATAAAAAGGATTAATTTTATAAAAATAAAAATAAGAAAATAAAATAAAAACCAAAAATAAATTAGGGAAGTCAAGTTTTCGATTCGGTTATTATCCAATCTAAATCTACCGTTAATTAATTTCGACGCTTTCTCTAAATTGCTAACGAATTACCAACCCTAGTTAACAACAAGCTCACTTAATCGAATTTTTCCTTACCGAATATTTAATCGAAATAAGCTCTTCGACTAAACCTAACTAGTGGACAACCTAGAATAAACTCTCTAGATTTAGTACACTAGCAGCATTAATTTCTAGGAAAATAGATTAGTCTAAGCAACGGACGCGAAAGCTCGGACCATTTAACTTATGTTCACGCTACCCTAGAGATTCACAACCCCAAGTTTATTACTAACGAAACGAGACAATAACAATTACGGATTAAAGTCCCAAATCTAGCAATTAAACTTTGAATATTTAATGTACTTGGCCAAACTAAATCAAACACCCAAAATTCATAAACACGATACAAAGATAACATGAATAAACTCATCGACAAAATAAATACGACGTCTCGATTAACTAATGATAAATAGAGCTCATCCAATACATAGACAAATCGGAATTAGGGTTCAAATATCCTCTAAAACTAGATAAAAAGCTAGCCTAAAATACTAATAAAAATAAATAGGAGATAAAAGAGAGAGAATAAAATTCTCCCTCGTGTGTGAGTGCGGCTTCCCTCCGCGTGTGTATTTTTGTCCTTGCGTTCGACACTCTTTCTTTTCGTCTTCTTCTTCTGTACAGCTTTTTTTTGTTCTTTTCTCACAAATAAGACCCAACTCCTTACTTTAATATATTAATAAAAATAAATATAAGATAAAAAAGAGAATATAAATATCCCCGACAACGGTGCCAAAATTTTGACCGCACGTCGCGACGCGAAAAAAATTAAATTTTATAAAAGTTTTCCTCAACTAACGTCTACTAACTAGTAGTAGCAGCGAGTAAGAGTTGATCCCGCAAGGAGCAGGAATTAAATTGTGACTATTATCGTATTAATTGAATTAAAACTATGAAAACTATAAAAAAAAAAAGTGGGGGTTTGATTTTATAAAAGTAAAAATAAAAATAACAAAAGAAGATAAAATAAAATAAAATGGGAGAAAGTTAAGTTTTCAATTCAGTTATCACCCAATCTAAATTAAGCGTTAATTAATTTCGACACTTTCTCTAAATTTCTAACGAATTACCAATCCTAACTAACAATAAGCTCTGTCAACCGAATTTTCCCTTTAAACAAAACGTGACCACTGACCAGCTCTTTTCTAGTCCAATAGGTTAATAAGTCTTTAGCCGATATACTTTTTATGAATACCATGTACATAGGCCACAACTTAATACATTCATGGGCCAAATCGACGGATATTGGGAAGGCCCGATAACTAATCGCGTAAAATTCTGTACAATGCTCTGCGTCCATAAAATATTCCAAAATACTGAAAATATCACATAAAACATCAAAGCAAATAAATCCATCCAAATAATAAATAGGTCGAAAAATACAAACGTGCCAATAAATTAAGCATATAAAAATATACTATTAGATATATAAAATACGCACATTGTTGGGCCTATCATAAATTCTGGAGCCGAATTATATATAATTTAGAGTTAAATAGGATGTTCAATAATATTCCTTTAGTGTAATGGAATATTATTCATATGGATTAGATGAAGGTGGACTAGAACCTAAGTTACCTAATCCTATGTGGATTCTTTATTTTAACACCTCGTTTAGGTCTCTCTTGTAGCCTATAAATACACCAAGTGCTCCTCATAATTCTTCTGTCTTGTCTTGCACATCCCATACACACGAGAGAAATAGAGAGAGGGAGGGAGAGAGAGAGAGAGAGAGAGAGAGAGAGTTTAAGAAGCTTTAGGCAAGAAAGAGAAAGATATTGTTTCCAAACACAAAATTTTCCTCCTTCTTCCCAAAGATCCATTCACATGAGTTTTGACGAGGAGACTCCAAGAAACCGTCGCCCACCAGAAGACACAGAAATGCTAGGATATATACCTGAAGATCAAAAGATGATGCGTCCGTACAGTCCCGTAGACTGTTTAATTGATCTAGAGTATGCTAAAGAATATAAGATTGTATAGCTTAAGTTCTTAATCTTTAACTTTAGATCCACTGCACTTAAATTTAAGTTNAACAATCTTAGCGGTAACCCAACCTTGAGAATAAGAGAATTCCTAAACATTGGGTCAATGGAAAAGTAAGTTTCAATAGTTCAGTGAAATACTCAACAATGTTTTATTTATTCTTAGAACTATCATGTGTAAAATATGCCTAAGTTGCCAGTTTATGTCAATGACTTTTAATAATTCCTATGCTTAAAGGTGGAAATCACGTACAAAATGAGAAGTGACGGTCGCATCTAATTGAACTCTTACAGATCTAAGCTATGGTCTAGAGCAAAAATGGGTACAACGTGAGAACAAAAAAGTGTTGTTATTGTGTGAGTGTTGTTTTCTTGGAGCACATATATGCACGATAGTTCAAAGCATCGTGCTGCTAACTGACTAGTGTGTCTAATAGTACTTCATTAAGGAGGTTCAAAGACAGAAGATACTTATCTTACTGCAGTAACTGCTCACTGTAACTCTCAAATGCTTAGAAATAAATAATTATGTACCTATTTTATGGTTTCACTTTTCGTACATAGAGTACTTAGAAATATTTTAAGACCATTTTTCGGTGAATGAAAAATTAATTAGTGTACGTGGAAATAAATGAGTTCCAGTTGGCCAAAAGTTATTTAGAGTTGAAAATAGATAAGTTTGGCTAACGAAAAAGAATAGAATTTGCATTCATAAGAATTTAGAAAAATGGGGAATGACCGTCATAGAGCAACAACTATAAAAAATGGGTTCGTTGTGACTCCGCGACGCCCATCATGGAGCGAGAACCCATGTTCTGAAGGGCTCGGCCAAGTGGCGTCTGGTCGCACCTGTTGTTGACCAAGAGCTTCCGGCTCGACTAGCTCCGAAAAATGTTTTTTGACTCAAAACTCTTGGTGGAATCTTCTAACATATATAAATACCCTACATAATTCTCATATCAGATTGGTGGAATCTTCTAACATCTATAAATACCTTACATAAATTCTCATATCAGAAAACCTTTGAGAAATAACATTATTAAAAGAGTACACTGCATTTTCTTCATCTCTTTTTCCTCTTAAAGTTTGAGAGTTTCAAACAATAGTAAGTTTGTTGAAAACTTATAATATTTGAAGAGGTAATTAAATGTCTTTGCATCTTAGATATGATTAGCAATATATGTGGACTTATATACTAGGTAAAATTTGTCTTTAATTACTGCATCGAGTGCGCGTCTCGATTTGTTTGTTTTTTCTTAATTTGTTCGAGTTTCATTTGTTCATATTCATGTTTGTTGTCCACCATTTCATGAAACCCGATCCAAGTTTCTAACTTAACTAACCCGAACAAACCTCAAAATTAAGATGTTTCCCACAACACAATTCGAACACATTTTGGAATTACCACATTGATAATATAATAACTAGAGAGCGTTCATTATTTCCACGTATTATTGATTACAAAATGCAAAAGCAACCAAGTTAGCTCTTCGTTTTAGCATCTCTTAAGAACTGCAAGCACCACCAACACGAAATACGCCAACGAGGCCCCACATGAGAGACCGATAGCGACCCCAGCCTGATCGCAATACCTATCAAACACATGACACACCTTTTTCCACTGCACGTGCGAATTGCCTTCATATCCCATAAGGCCAATGGCAAGGGCAGCTCCCACGCTCGCAAACAGTAAAGCCACCATGATTAGGTCGACCAAAATGAACATCATTTCCATGCCCTTTTTTCCACTTCTATTTGCGAGCTTAACGATTAATGAGACGGCTGCATAGGCGCATGCTATGCTATTTGACACCACAAAGAACCTGAGGATTGATGATGATTGAGTAAATATTTCAAAACCAATTTTTAGATTATGTTTTATAAATTTGACACGTGAAGAATCAAATATGCTGTATTTGTTTGTTTAATTACCATAATAATGAAGAAAAAGATGCAAAAGGTTATGTCCAATAGTATTATTAGTGTCGACCTTATATCATTCGGAAAAGTGCATTATAATTTTATTATAGAGAATTTATTGTTTCAATTATGACAAAAAGCGACATAAATTTTTTAATGGCCAGCTATGCTATCCTCCAGACTTTCGCAATTCAATTTCTTTGTAGTCCACATTAAATTGATGCAACTGTATGGGGCCTGCGCTGACGCGCTTAGACTTGTTTTGGAGACTATGATTTGACCTTTTTTTTTTTTTTTTAATGAAAAAAGATGGATGGCTCAGCAGTTCCTTACTTTAATGCTGCAAAGCTTTGGGCTCATTAAATTGTGTGCGACCAAGCCTGGTAGTTTCTAGTTGGGAGTATAGGTCATCAATAAGTCGCATGCATCATCTCTAAAGTTTGACTTGCTTTACTAAATGACTTGCAAAGAAATTTTATATGGAGATTTTCATAGCATCGTAACACTTCCACGTCAATATCTGCAAATTATATGGATAGTTTAGAACGCAACGGATTAATATCCATGTTTTGATGTTAGTGGATTGGTATAAAATTAAGAGATTGAAATAATTTATTTAGATATTTGACAGAGTTTTGCTACGTCAACAGTTGGCTTCACAATGGAGCCAACCTTCTATATAAAACAAGTAAACCATAACATATTATTAGTATTATTTAATAATTAATTTATTTGGTAAAAAACTTATTCGATTAAATTTTTAAGATCAAAACACTAATTGCTTTTTTTTTTCCTTTAAAAACTCAAAATATAGAAACTTTTCTTAAATAGAAGATTTGTAAAATAACACGTCAAGCATAATATATTCAATATAATTATACAATCTACTATTTACTAGTTATTTATAAATAAATTAATACAATCTGTTAATCAAATATATATTACATCCATTATTAGTTATCCGCTAGTACAATAATTCATTCGGTATCTACTATGAAACAATAATCAAACAATTCATATATTTCCGAATTTATTGAGCCAAAGTGGTCATTTCACATTCTTTGTAATTTTATATGTCAAAATACTATGTTTGAAGTATATATGGCCCTAACAAAATAATTATAATTATTTATAATAAATAACTTTGACTTGGATGGTATAAATTTATTTATATTATCAGACTATTCAATTTTTGTATTTCATCCATATCATTCTCTTTTGTGTTTTGAATAAACATATTATATATAGAACTGATGATGTATTCAATATTTTAAAATAGAAACTCTTATTTATTTTTTAAATTTTGTTTCTCGTACATATATTCCTATCATCTAAAACAAAATAATAGTTTAGTTCTCAAAAAAGTACTCAAAAAATCTTTAAAAAAAAAATAATGTTTTCAGTACATGTTTTTCTTGATTAGTACTCGCTGTATATTATGACAGATATCTCTAAATACATGAACACTAAAGTTAATAAAATCTAAGTACAATCCATTATTGCACGTGCAATTAATAATCAATAACATGATTATGTAAAGAGTTGGCTTAAGTATATACTTACACAAAGGCAGACAAGTAGTGCCACTTTGCGGTGACCGGCACGTTGACAGGTGGCAGCGTTGGGACGAGCGTCATGGCCACCGTGGTTGTCTCGTTATTGACGCCCAGAACCACGGCCGCGGCCAGGCTGAGTGCCAGTGCCAAGAAACGTAAAATTACATCGGAGCCCCTCAGTTTTCTCTTATTAGCCACCACCACACCGCTCTCCATCCCTCCATAGCCACTGTTCTTGTTTTCGGACTCCATGTTATAGCGATATTTTTGTGTAAGAAAGATCAAACACTGCTTCTTAAATTATATTGGAAGAAGGTGCTAGTTTGGAGTGAGTTTTATAGAGGTGTGAAAAGAGGACTTTCGTGCATTTTTAATTTTTTTTTTTTCCTCCTTCATTCGGGGATTAAAGGATGAGGTTGGAGGATGGAGCGACAAATTAAATCAGTGCAGATATTAACATATATGTAAAATACTCGATATTAATTTACTAGGCGAAGCGGTTTGAACTTATCGCTTGGATCAGTTTTTGTTAGTAAAATCTATATCTATAGTTCTATGCTAATATAAAAAAATTATTGAAAAAATATATAAATAGTAATTTTGACTTATTAATTAAATATTTGACTTACTATTATAAGAAATGTTTTTAAAAATACATAAGATTAGAAAAAAAAATGAGCAAATTAATTTAATACTGTTTTTTAGAAAAAAAAAACGGGTGCATATTTTAAAAATGAATGTTACCTTTTTTTTTTTTTTTCTTAATTAACCAATTTTCTAATCATTGGGTGAACAAACTTCAAATGAATTTTCTTGGTACGGAAAATTATCGGTGCATCTTTTCCAATGATTTGTTGAACGATCTCATTTCCTACACAATTTTGGCAAAATTCGATTTTCACTATACCTTCAAAATAATATACTTATCTATTACAGAGAAAACTCGATTTGCAAATGAGATTAGATTTTCAGTGAATAATTCTGATAAGATTTACTTGGTAAAAATGCGTGAATATACCATGATAATCTGTATTTTTGGTAACATTCTATTCGTATTTTCGTCAAAAAAATATTTAACAGAATTTATAATTTAGGAGCAAACATTTTATTTTGAAACATCCATAACATATTTTTTGTGACATTCAATTTAGGCAAATATAATATTTAATTTTGAGTAAGAATAATTTCAATTCAAATAACGCATCAATACAATCTAAACTGAAAATGTACAATAATATGAAAACAATATGATATGGAAACGCATCAATACAACCAAAATATAGAAAATTTGATCTTTATTTTAAATGGCAATATATCATTCCAATATTCACCATAAGTTAATGCGAATATGAAAAAATATGATCAAATATACTTATCTATTATTTAATGATAAATTTTTAATTTATAAATATTAATAAATATTTCTTACCCGTGCATCGTACGAGATTCATACTAGTATATATAAAGAGCCAACCAATTTACCAAAAATAGTAACAAGAAAAGTCAACCCACAATTAATGCATTCTATTTTTTGCAGGTTTTGAATTTTCTTTTTAAATTATTCCCAAAAAATTGATAAGCTATATATGCACCCTCAATTCATGGGTTTTGTGGACTTAATTTTGGTAAATGTTGACTGATGCTTATAATTTTGAAAAAGTCAAAATTCTTTTTCATTTTTTATTAAAAAAAAACTGATTACCATAAAATCGGCGATTTCAAATTAGGCAAAATACTGTCACATACATCTTTTCCTAATTGCAACAGATCAATTGTTTATTAAAATAAATTGAATTGTATAGAAATCGGATTACTTTAGGTAAAATTCGGCATGACAATTTTATAAAAATCAAAATTCCTCATTTTTTATTAAAAGAATATATGTTTACCATGAAATCGGGAATTTCGAATTAGGCAACATACTGTCACATGTATCATTACTTAATTGCAACAGATCATGTTTATTATAAAAAAAAAAAATAGATTGCATATAAATCGAACGCAATTTCAAATTGAAAATTAAAATTTAAAAATCCCTTATCATTTGGCTACGACTTTCTTTAGTTCGGATTATTTTTAAACATAAAACAGAGTCAGATAATATTCATTTGAAATTCAAAATAAAATTGGATTGGAACATCCTAAAAATTTGGGTTTTGTTTAATCCTCTAGAATACAAATTTGAAATTTGATTGTATACAGTTACACAATTTTTTCCTTCTTTAAATTAAATAATTTACAATTTTAAAATAATATTAAGGCTATAGATTCAAGAAAGACGTTTTACAATCTCCGTTATATTTGACTATGCAATATTCATAAAAATTGTATAAATCATATCATATATCCTACTAAATAATTTAATTGATTTTTTTGCTCCTATCTAGAATCCTAATATTATTTGTGGCAATATTCATAATGTACCGAAAGACTAAACCAATAATGTTATGTACAATGATGTGTAATAATATATAAGTTACATTTGTTTTATTCCAATACATACGTTTTACGTTATTCCAATCATCCAATCATCCAAATTTAAATGCTTACCTTAATAAAACTAGCCCGTTCATCGCACGGGTACCACACACTAGTTTACTAGGAAAAGCAGTTCTATCTCTTCACTTTTATATTGTTATAAATATATTATTGTTATGGACAATATTAATATATAAATTGGGCCTGAAGTCCATTAATTAGGTAAATTAGGTTTCAACTTTTCTGCTTATGTAAACTTTATAAAAGAAGTGAAAGACGATAAATGAAACAGACTTTTCTGCTCCTTCTCTCTACTTGATGTGAGATGAAAAAAGCTTAGTGAAGATTGACGATTCCAATTTACAATACGTTATCAACACGCTCTAATCCAATAATTTGTTGGTGTTGCCCTAGGAAATATCATGTCTTTCTTGTCAAGATAATATATTTTTTAACACCAATAATTACATGAACTTTTTTATTAATTATTCAACCATAATTTGGCCTTGAAGTTGAAAATTTATTATTATTATGATTCCTGCTGGTTATTGATTATCAGTGAATTGTTGGGAGAATTGTAATATATTAAATGGGAGAAGAACAAATGGCATTAGAGCTACTCGTACCTAGACCGTGAGTGAGAAGAAGAATGCCTGAGGCTCCTCAAAGAACAGCGTTATGATCCAACGAGTGATTTGTGAGGTGAGCGGCGGGAGTAGTTATACCATTCTCACCAAGACCAATTACTCCGACTGGGCGCTTCTGATGAAGGTCAAGTTTGAGGCCAAGGCTCTCTGGGGCGTGATCGCAGATGGCAGTGCTGATCTACAAGAGAAGATGATGGTGCTTGATGCCTTGTGCGGCGCGGTGCCGTGGTGCCACCGGAGATGGTACCGTCGGTTGCCAAAAAAGAGACGACGAGGGAGGCTTGGGATGCGATCGCAACCATGAGGGTCGGGAACGACCGCGTCATGAGGTCGACGGCCAAGCAGCTACATCGAAAATTCGATCTGGCCGCCTTTGAAGACGGCGAAACTGTCGAGGAATATACGCTTCACCTGAAAGGCAAGACGGTGCACCTCGCCACGCTAGACGCATAAATGGCGGAGAGCGAGATCATCGCGAAGATACTCCGCACCCTGGCGCCTCGGTTCAAGCAGATCTCAATTGTGATCAAGACACTGCTTGACGTGTCGAACATGACGGCTGCCAAACTGACTGGGAGTGATAGGCCGAAAAATATGCACGTTTTATATATTTAATAATGTATTTTTTTTATACACTTAATAGTGAATTTTTATACACTTAATAGTGTATTTAATACACTTAATACTGTATTTTGTTATATATATTTAATAGTGTATTTTTTATATTTTTATTCGCACATCTATATTTTTCGACTTATTTATTCTTTGAATGAATTCGTGTACTTTGAAATTTTATTATCTATTTTCAGTATTTTTGGGACTATTTCTGATTGCACGAAGATGTGTGGATGCACAAAGAAGGATGTATAAGTTTTTCTAGTAGTGTAAGGGGGTGTCCCGTACTACCCCGTACTGATCACCCAACAACACCCCATACTCAGCCCAACAACTACCCAATTTCTGACCCAATAATGAATTTTTAAATAAAGGTCTAGGGTCTTACATGGCAAGTTAGTGGAACAAGTGAGCCAGATCTTTGTATTTGAAGAAACAAAATTAAGAGAATCAAGCCCAAGTTATAATATTACACAAGCAGGCCTGAGGGAATTATTTATGCAAAATTGGAGGGCAAGCCACGAAGCAAAGGAATTATTTACGGGGAGACCACGCAGGCCATGGGGTATATACAGGATTTATTGACGCCAACAGAGACAACCACGCGGAAGAAAAAGCTGAGAATTGAGAAAAAAAAGCAGACGCAACCATAAACGTGGAAACAGAGGATACGCGGTGAAGCCGACGCGGAGTGAGATCTCACCCGCACACGAGGAAGATAACTTTATTCTTCTCTTTTCTTCTTTATTTATTATGTTAGAGTAGATTTTATTTCTACTTTCGAGAATGTCGAACCCTACGACTTGACGATGATTGATTAATTTATGTGGTTGATAATTTAATTATCTTTTTGAAATTGTTTGTGTTATTCTGACTGAGCATCCGTGATGTGTTTGATTTTATTTAGATTGATTACCTAGATAAAATTTTTCATGTCTAATGCAGGAATTGAACTTGCAGTCTGTAATTGTTGTTGGGTTTAATTCATTAGAGAAACCGGAAGATGGTAACTACCGGGGATAACACGGCTATTTAAGTGAACCACGCGGTTGGATTCACTACTTAGGTTAGCCTATTTTTCTAGATCCTAAAGTGGCTAATTGTATTAAATCTAGAGAGCGTGTCCTAGACTGTACAAGAAGTCAGGTTTAATCGTAGAGCGTCTCGCGGTTAAATTAAAAGTAGCATCGCGTGTTTTTACCTAGGGCTAGTAATTCCATAAGATAACAAGATTTGATACCAGAATTGATTAGATGAATCGGTCGAGGGTTCTTTTGGAGGGGTTTAAACTATCAGACTTATTAGTTATATTTAGTAGCTATGATAACCAAAATAGCCTTTTGAAGGCCGTGGAATTTACAAGTCAAATAAATGTTAAGATTGGTTAATCCGATTTGTGTAGTCCTATGCTTTTTAGGATAGAGGGTAGTTTCGAATATTTTTCTTCAAGAAATTCATTTGAGACAGGGTAAATTAAGTGACATTACATGAGCTTGAGTACTTTAAGAAAGTACAATGTGTTAGTGTTATATACTGAAAGCTTGGGTTTGGATGAAGTTACACTTTTACCCTTTCTGAATGAGAATCATGTTTGATTAAACAAGTTCTATGTTATGTTGTTTTAAGCTTAGATAGAATGAGTCGTCATCGGACGAACAAAAGATCATTCTATCAGTTACTTGCGAAACAAGAATTATGGTTCACAACCTATATGGAAATGAACACCCCATCCGAACGGTGGTAGTATCAACGGTGTAGTTGATCATG